AACACCCAAGGACATGTTCCATTCTTAACCTATGTCACAGAGAATGTCACAGAGACATCTGAACAACTAGAAATCTTTTTAACCATGTAAAGACTCTAAGGCTTCCCTAAATGACATCCTGGTTTACACTGTGACAAGACAGAGACATTCCTTGCTGTATTTAGAAAGATTGCCTCATCCCAGGCATCCAGTATCTCACTATTTACCCTTACTCCCCTACCTACAGAAACGCCTCTTTCTGACTGAGCATGTCATCCTAACACTCCCCCGTTCCACATGAACATGCAGAAGGCTGCAAACACATGCAGGATGGACATTTACTGATAGAGTAGACAAGAAACAACTGGTAGTATTTTGTCTGTGAGGGTAGCTGTATACTAGTGTTCTATCGTCAAGGGCTACTCAAGTATAATGTATCCCAGGGTTTATAACAGCCCAAGAATGTCAAGAGAACAATGGCTTACTAAATGCTGCCAAAGGGTCCCAGGTTCGATTCCAGTCAAAGGCATATACCCCAATTGCAGTGTTTCTCTCACATCAATATTTCTGTCATTCTCTCTCTCTTCCACTCTCTCTAAAAAATCAATGGAAAAATACCCTAGGGTGAAGATTAAAAAAAAAAAGCTGCTTATTAGAGTATCACACTCAAAGAATCCATCAATAAGAGGGTTATCAAGAAAGAAAATACAGGCAGGGGACAGGATTGAAAATAAAGTCTATCTGGCTCCAAAAAAAAAAAAAAAAAGGAACTGCACATTACAAAAAGAACTAGGAAAATTCAACAGTTATTATATGTTGTCTTTTGAAGCATTTTGATCATTGTCTGAAACTATAGATAAATTCAGGAAAGGGAAGAGGGAAAGTTTTCTCTGTCAGGTCAGGAAGAACTCAGTAGCTCAATATCCCACAGAGGAGCTAAAAGCAAAAAAGTAAGTCAACTTCCCCCATCCTCTGGGGAGCAGAGAGGGTTTGGAGGCTGAATTAATAATCAATTATGCCTATGTGAGAAAGCATCCATAAAAATCCCTAAACATGGAGTTCAGAGAACTTCTCGGTTGGCAAGCACATCCACATGCTGGAAGGCTGACACATCTCAACTCTAGGGGATAGAAGCCCCTGCTCTCAGGGACCTCCTAAAAAAGAAAAAAAAATTAAGTCAACAGTTAAAACAGACACCATTTAATCTGTTGATAAAACATGAAATTAGGAGAACTGTGGCTGTATTTTCAAGCCCTGGAAGTTTCTTCAAAGCCATACTAATTCTAATTGAGCGAACAGAAGGAAAAACATATCAGTCTCAAATTAAACCTCCCATAAAGCAAGAGGAAATAACACATGACTCTTTATTCTTCCCAAATGTGAGGCATACAGTAGGTTGTCAGAACGTGGCTTCAGAGAACTTGAGAGTGCTAAGAAAGGCTGAGCTATTCAAAGCAAAAAGCTGTGCTCAGCTCTTCTCTGTCACTGTGACATCAGCCTCTTGTGCCCACATAACCCTGAGTCCTCTTTTTCGCTAAATGATTTCCTTCTATCTAATGCCTGCAGTCCCATGGCCTGATGGCTCAGATAAATCATGTGCAAAATCTTGGCAGCTATATCTCTTCTTTGTGGGAAGGTCATGTAGTCCCTTAAAAAATCTGAAGGACACAAAAATATTACTAATGCACATATGGGTTTAGAGGGGACTACACGATAAAACTCCTTGGCATGCAAACAAAAGTTTTCCATAATTTGTAACCAACTTACTTCTTTAGGGTCCTCACCCATTTCTCCTCTCCTTCCACTAGCACATATTCTGTCTATTGCCTCTCTGTCTTTGCACATGCTGTTCCTTCTGTCCTTTCTCATCTTCTCCCATGGAAAACTCATAATCCTCCTTGAGAACATTTCAGATTCTCTGTAAAATATCTTCCAACAATTCCAGGGAAATTTAGTCACTTCTTTGTGCTTTTATAAAGCTTTGTTCATATCTTTACTATAATGCCTGTCACATCATACTGTATTTATGTGTTAAATTTGAGGACAGAGATCATGTCTTAATCATCTAGTGATTATGCAGCCCCTGGCAGATAGTAGGTACTCAATGCATTTTTTGAATGAATGAACATCTAAATTGTGTAAATTCCTATAATAGGAGGAAGACAGTGAACAAACTAATTGCATCACTCCTGGAAAGCTGCTAATTCTGTTAAATTTACCCCTAAAAGTGGGGGAAATGTACAAATTACAATGTTAAACGTGGCTTTATAATTACAATGAAAACTGTTTATAAAACCATTTCCATTTCCAATTCTCCTTTCTCTCAACAGAGTAAGTATATAAAAAAAAAGATACACAAATATCCAGTGTAGACTTCATCAGAAGAGGTCTTTAAAAAGATCAAAACAATAGATTTTTACCGTCAAAAGAGACCTCTTGGTCATTTGTTCAATCCTGTCATGTATGAATCTCTATACTAATCTCCCCAATAAATGCTTACCTAGTCTCTACTTGAACACTTCCAGTGATGGGGGAACTCACTATTTGGAAGGTACTTGATTCCTTATTTTAACAATGATAATATCCAAGTTAGCTCAAATCTGCCTCCTTGTATTCATTAACCATTGAAGTCAGTCCTTTTGTCTTAAACCACAGAAAATATACCTTCTTTGTTATGGTTACTCTATAAAAAATGAAAAACAGCTATATAGTCACTCCAAGCTTTCTCTTCCCTTCTCTCCCCTCCCCTGTCCTCTCCTCTCCTCTCCTCTCCTTTCCTGTCCTTTCCTTTCCTTTCCTTTTCACTCCACAGCCTCTCACGTCATGTTTTCCAACATTTTTATCAACCTGGTTTATATCTGCAGACACATTGCAGCCTGTCTCTAACACTTCTAGAATTAAGTGATATTTGCCTACTGTAGAGGACTCCCCAGAGCAGGACTAACAGATCTCTCTCATTCAGGTACTATTCAAGCTTGGACTGGCTCTTTACATGGTGTAAATCACACCTTGGCAATGGTTAGGAGAAAAAGGGATAACATGAAGCCTGGATAGGACCAGAGCTAAGAGAACTGATCCCATTCTGAGACTTTAGCTGGGGGATAAGCTGCTTAAATGAATCCTAGGAACACTAAGGGCATTCAAAGGGCCTTGATGGAATAGAGGGAGAGCAGGTGTGGCCATATTTGAAATCAGATAGGTGGCAGCATT